TTTATGTTGGATTTATTTGCTTATCAGTTTGAAGATGGCAACAAGATATAAATCAACAAATAAATATTTTGAAAATATTTCGTGTCGAAAATTAAAATGACTTTAATTAAAATATTTACTAATAATTACTGAAAACGATCGCGGTAAAAGATAATTGCTTGAAAAAAGAAACAAACTTTTGAACTTTTTTTAATTTTTTATCATTTAGTTGTTAGTTACATGCCTTTTTTTATTTTTAATGAACAATATACCTTAATAGTTAAAAGGAATCTGATAAGGAAGAAATAATAGATGTCATGATAGATTTAGATTTTTCCCATTAAAATGAAAACAATAGATTCAATTTTAATGGATAGAGACATTACTATCGTTAGTTTATTTATTAAATTTTTCCCCTAAAAATTGAAAACACTAAAGTGTAGTTAGCAATTTTAAATCAGCAATTTAATAATGTACTGTATGCCTCTTTTTTATGATATCACTTTAGTTTTTTTTTTGGAAAAGGAAAAATTTAAATCGTTTTTATTTTTCATCAAAATGCATTTTTTATCATAGCTCCAAAGGGCTTGAAAAATTAAAAAATATTTAAAATGTTTGTTGCAAAAGGTATTATATTAAATGTCACCGTATTACTAAAATAATTAGAAAGGAAAAACAAACTGAAAGGGATAAAGTAGAATTAAATAAGTTAAAAATACCAAAAAAATCAAATAAAACAAAAACTAGTCTAAAAAATGGCTCATAAAAAACAATCGCTTACTAATTTATCAATACTAATTACATTTAAATCTTCTTCAACAGTTGTTTTTTAACAAAAACCATAAAAGTTCATTAGGTTTAATTACGAAACGAAGCAAAAATAAAATCTTAATTGCCTTAAAAACTAACACCTATAGATTCAGAAAAATTCAGATAAAAAAGAAAAGTAGCATAAGAAACGTTCAATTATAAAACATAGGAAAAATCCCCTTAATTTTTTTTTATCCTAAGAATTAAAGAGAGTAAAAAACAAAGAAGTATCGATTATAAATTATGAATGAAGATATTCTCCAAACATTTTTGAGTCTATTATCCGGTATTTTTTTGTAAATTTCATTCCGGATACGTTAAATGATAATATATTTTTTAACATTGTTGTAACAATGAAGTAATTGTTAACATTGTTTAAAGAAAATTAGAATTTTGGAGAAGCTCAGAACTCCGTTTCGTTCTTCTGTACTTCATCTGCAGTGGATTCTGTCCCTAGGTAAAACGTATGATCATATGGTAAAATGTACCGTACTTCTGGCTCTGTGGGAACACTAAAAAGCTCGATAATTTTAACCGAAGTTTATTACTAAATATTTCGGTAAAATTAACCATGAGAGATGGTGTAATAATATGATAAAATATAGTAATTTTTTAAAAACCAATAATCTGGTTAACTTAACTTTTAATTATTTTATTAAAAGTAAAATTAATTTTTGAAATTTTGGATACATAGAAATCATTAATTTGGTGAAATTTATTGTCATTTTATATTTTCTCAAAATGTGTGGTAGTAAGAACTAGGATTTTAAAAATCAGAATTTTCAGTAAACCGTTATTATAGGAACGGAGAAATTATCAAATGAATGGTTTAAATAAGTATTTTGGTTTTATTAACTAGAATTATGTTTTTTTATTACTGTTTTTTATTTAACAGAAATGTCATTAACATGCAGACCGGTGACCAGAATATTTTTTTACCGTTTTTAAAATATAGCGATACTGCTGATGGTCTAGCGAACGAAGGTACTTCACTGATTAAGCTTAGTACTGGACCTCTGACGTACCTTGAGCTATTCTCGAGAAGTAAGGATTCCATAAGTACCTCTTGGAAACAAATGCCATCATACCCGTAGTATCTTAGTAGGAGTCCTAACTCTTCAACAAGTTTTAAAATTGAAAGGGGTGATTAGACTACTTCAACTCGACTATCTACTGGGCATTTAAAAATCCTCAGTTTTTTCCATTTTGTTAAGACATTTCCAGTTTGCGTCAAGTATAGTAAAAGCTACTTCGCAACATCTGATTAACCGCGCTAACTTGGTACGTGAGGACCAAGGAAGAGGACGCGAGGAAGTAGGACGCGAGGAAGAGACTTTATGTACAATACCTTACAATAATGAAAGTACACTTTCAGTTTTTGACATTTTTGAAATTTTACATGAAACTCTGAAAAAGTTATGTTATAACTTTTGGTGTGTTTAGGTCAAGCAATTTCTCCCACTTATCAAAAAAAAGTTGAAGGCTTTTAGATTTTTGAGGGACCAGCAATAAATTACGAACAAAAAAGAGTGTTTTTGGACTCCCTGTACCAGAAAATATAGCAATAAGCATGTAACTTGCAACAGATACTTCAAATATTAAATGCAATTAGGGCATAAAATTTGGATTTTAGCATAAATATTTTTGAAATCTGGATATTTTCATTGAGATCCAATTTTTTAGACTTACCATAACTTTAAAAATATTAAACAATATAAGAAATGTCAGTTTGAAATTTGAAAGAATGTTGTTAAAAGTTGCATGAGATATCAGCATTTAAAGCAGTCTTTTAATACTGCGCATGCAGGTATAAAATTTAAATTTTCTTCACAATTTTGTAGTGAATTGTATTATGTTACTTATAAAAAAGTCCGTTCTGAATATCGGGAAATTTGGAATAGCTTGAAAAGTTTCTGACATTTTTCTAAGTGAATTTTGAAAAGAAGCTCTAAATGATTATGAAATTTCCCCAAATTTCAATTTTCACCATGAAATAAGATTTCACCGACAGTATAAGGAATACTTCCCCATTAAAATATGTTCTATTTCACGCGTTTCCTATCCTTTTACCATCACATCTTGCTGCCCGATCTTTATAGGGTAGTATTATTTATTCTTAGATTTTGTTTTATAATACAAAATTAAATTTGGAGAGAATCTCTTTTCAACCATAGCTTAAAAAAAGTACAATAATTACTTAGAAAATCCCTTAGAAATAACATAATTACTTAGAAAATTCCTAGGAAATTTTCAAATTTTAAAGGTATTCAAATAGGAAGTTTTTCATTAGTTACCAAATACGATTCATAACAAAATTATTATTTTTGTTTTCAATTTTTCTCCCATGTGCATTATGAAAGAGCTTCTTTCTAAGATCTTTTGTGGTTTTTAACAAATTTCTTTCAAATTTTAAAATGGTGTTTTTGTTATTAATTAAAAATTGCTACAAAAATTTGTTTAATTTCATTAAATATATTTGCAGTTATAGTAAGTCTTCGCTTCACTAAGCACATAACTTCGCTTCACTAAGTACATCACACTGCTAATAGAGAGCTATTAGGGAGTTAAATATTCTTAGGAAACTGTGTGGTACTACTTGGGCTCAAGACCACAAACAATGAAAAGTACTTACTGCACAATCATTATGTCAGTCCTGGAATATGCTGCCCCAATTTGGGCCCCAGCCTCGATTACAGTCAAGCAGAAACTTGATTCCGTTCAACACAGGGCTTCTAAAATTATTATTAGCGCCGCTTCTTGCAGGAATGTGGTCTATACCACTTTTAACTTGGCGTAACGTGACCATCATCAGGTTCATAAGCAAGACTCTCTGCAGAAACTCTGATCATATCTCCAGAAGAGCTCTCAACGATTGGAATTGTTATACTAGACTTAAAAGGTCCAATAGTTGACAGCGGCATTAGAAAGCGTATCCAATCGGAATATTCCTCCCTGAATTTTCTTCAAGAACCCATACTCCCAACTAAGACACCTGAAAATACAAAGATTGTCCTAAACCTGCAGAAACCAGCCTCCAAAAATGAAGATCCCAACCCTCTGAGGCAAAAAAGGCCTAAATACTGTGGTAAAGCTGCCTCCAGAGCATCAAATCAGTACATCATCAAACGTCAAATCAGTATAGGTCAAATTGCCTCCAATCTCTCCTACGAATTTCTAGCGATTATAAAGAAGCCGTCAACTTATACTTGACCAACACTTTAGCTCTAGACCTTTTAGAAGGGGTAATCGTTTTCTCTGACTCCTAATCAGCTTCACAGGCTATTAAAAATGGAGAAAGTAATATCACATCCTCTATCAACAATCTACTAAATCAGCTGCATTGCAGGGGAAAATACTGTGTACTATAATGGATACCAACTCATGTAAATACAGTTCCGTATGCGACTAGAGAATCCAATCTTAATGCATATATAACTCAAAATAAATAAAATATTGAGTTACCTCTTATTATTATACTACTTTTATCATGAAAGATGTAATTTGTTTCTAAAAAAGTTTTTTGAAAAAATAATTCCTCTATTAGAATTCACGAGAAAAAAATTCACTTATGCAAAACATAGTTTATCTAGTTATTCAATCAAATAAACTTTTTCCTAAGAACAACGTTTTTTTAAAACTGTTATGATTTAAATTTAAATTTAATCCGTTGTGGAAATAAAACACAAAAATATCATAAGTCACAAGTCAAAAATGTCATAAGCACAAAAATGTCATACATCTTCTCAAAAAAATAAAGTGATAAATGAAACAAGGATTAGCAACTCGACCGATCTGCCTCGTTTATCAGCATTTTACATAAATAATGTATGCACTCTACATGTTTTATATGTTTAAAATATGAATGACTTATGATTAATATTGAAAATAAATAAAATGGGATAGTAGAAATAAAAGTAAATATATTGCATTTAGAAAATATTAATTAAAATAGCATAGAAAATTCATCCAAATATTAAATTAACAAATTAAATTTAAATTTATCATTCAATGTCTACGACTCTTTGATTCATTATTAAAATTCCAACAAGTGATTAAAGTTCTTCAAACTTTAGTTTAGATGTGATCAGATTTAGATTTAGTGCTACCAACTAAAATATAGTTAAGTGCATCAAGTTATTCCTGAAATCAAAAGCCTGAGCTCTTTCGTCAGCGCTAAAATTTCGTGATGTCGTAAAATTTTTAGTGTCTACAGGTGCTGTTATTCATTATTGAGGATAACTATCTTATATAGAAGATGAAAATGCAAATTGCTAAGTATTTGGCACATCAAAGTCAGGGAAATGCTTTACTTCGTGGGGGTAATTTTGCTTTTAGGGTGCTCATGCTTGACAGTTTCGGGTAAGTTAGTTAAGAAAGTTTTGGGAATGTGCTCTTTTTATTGCAGTATCATAAAATAATGACAAGTCTTTTTTTTTAAAGAACCTTTTTTTCACTTTTCTGAATATTTATTATAAAATAGTGAGTTTCAGTTTTCAATTAAGATATAGAGTATTTTGATACAAATCAAATTATTCGGAACTTCAACATGATAATTATTTCAGCAAATATATTCTTTCTACTATAGTATCATAAAAAATAATGAGTTTTTTTCCAATTTTTTTTCCTTTTTATTTTCTTGGATATTTATTACAAAACCATAATCAGTTTGTCTTGAATCATAATCTTGAGTATTTCCATAAAAATTATATTTTTCTGCAATAAAATACGGTAATTATTTCAGAAATTTACTCTAACATAGAGACAAGAAAAATGACGAGTTGCATTTAAACAATCCTTGTTTTTTCTTTTCAGAATTTTTGCATAACATTATGACTTACAATTTCAAATTAAGATATTAAATATTTTCATAGAAATCAAAATATACGTGACTCAAATTCGATAGATATTTCTTCAAAGAGGAAAAACTGTTTCTGAGTTCTTTTTTGTATGAGAAAAAAAGATAAACTCATTGTAGAGGAATTAAGTTAAAGCTGACTGTTGGTACCTTTTGATTTCTATTTAAGTTATTAATTATTTTATGCAAAAATACTTTTTCATCTGGTGCAAAATGAATTTTTTTAAGTAAACTGTTCATATAATAGAAAGAGCCGTAATTTTTTGATAAAGCATGCATATACGAATAAAAACATAATTTAAAACACGTTCGAAATATAACTAAAAATTAGCACTTTGTTGTCACTTTTCATAAGTAATTCAAAATTTTTTTAAAACTTTTTAGTATGAAATTAAATTTCAAATTTTGCACTATAATTGCTGCTGTATAATTTACAACGAAAAGTGTCTTCATATTTCTTGGTTTATTCTAAAATATAGAACTTTAAAGAGGAAAAAGATCCCTATGTTTTGAGGAAAATATTTTACGATTTTGAAATCGTTTTCTAATTTTCATTATTAAACTTTAGTTTTAATAAACTAAAGTCATACAAAACGTTATTATGTTTCTATATATTGTAAAATAATGGTATGTTCATTGCAAATTTCAAAACCAGGTTTAACATTTTATTTTTAAAAAACAATAAATAGACAGTTTTTCCATGTGTACTTTCATATTTCGAGGCAGAAATAATTATAACTTTTCATGGTATTTGATAAAATCGCTTGCATGTTTTTGAAAACTGATAAATCTAAATTGAACTTTAATTCAATTTCTTACCGTTTGATATTTTCATAATATGAATATAATATTCCTTCTTTCTTTTTTTCTTGTAAACTGTGAAAAGGTTTTACATTCTTGGAAAATGATAATTTTAATATTAAAAACAAACAGTTATCATCTCAGAACACGATTTTTTTCAATGCATTTATGAATATTCCAATTCCTTAAGAAAGAGATAAAATAAGTTGCTTATTACAAATTGTTTGCTTTCATAATTACTTATAACTTTAATGGGTTCTGACAGAAAATGAGCATACGTTTAAAATTACAATTCGTTCTTTTTCAATCATATTAAAACAAGTTACTGCAATTTCTAAGCCTATTGAAGAACTTAATTCAGTAATTTTTATAAGGAAGCATTAATATTTTACTCTTTAAACAAATACTTGATTAAATTTTTGAGAATGATTAAATATTTGAGAAACTTACAGTATAATAAGATTTATTATCGTATGTAAAAATCTGTGCATTTCCATTATTTTCAAGATTAAGGAGATCATGCTTTCATAACAAGACTGCAGTAATATAATTGGACTATTACAGTGAAAGCAGAAAACTTTCCTGTTGATAAAAATAAAGCTTTTAAAATTATTTTTAATAATTATTTATTAATACTAAATTTTATAACAGCTGAAAATAAGTTGAATTATGAGGTATACAAATTTTTATATAATTTAAAAGTGATGATTTTAATTGGCAAAGCACAAAATATGAATGAAATCGGCAGATTATAGTTTGAAAAACTAAATTTTAAATATACTAGGGTTTACAATTTGATAACTCAGAAAGTATTCTATCTATTTCGTTCAACTCTATTTCGTATCGTTTGTATTTTGCCATTTTAAATTACTTGACCACTCAGAATAACTTTTGATCTAATAGTCGGATCTTCACGTTCTCAATCTTAATGGTCTGAGGGGATGTTTTCAAATATGCTAGTTAATTAGGGCAGACAATATTTTAAGTTCATTTTTTAAATGTACGATTTTCTTAAAATTCGATTTCTTTGGAACTATTCGACTGATTTTGCTCAGATTTTGTAGTTTGCCATTTAAAATTACATTTTTAAAATGACATAAGAAAATGTATGCCTTACAATTTAAATATTTTAAACTAATATTAAGCAATAAAGGTTTGCTAAAAATTATTTTGTGCATGGAATTATCTTCTGATAAACGCACTTTATGATTGTGCGCAATTATTTTTTATTTCACCTTAAAAGATAGATATGGCGAAAATACGCAAAAAGTAAAATTAGCATTATTATGTCCAAACTTTGGACCGTTCTTCTGACCAAACTATTGGGGCCATATTTTTCAGATTGTGGTTACTGCCTATATTTTGGGGTCAGAAAATCGAATCCGTCGAAGAAAAGATATGTTCATGCTGAGAAATTGCATTTTTATGTCTTATTCCATAACTTAAAATATCGCCTGTACTAACTAATTAGCATATTTGAGGTTGTTCAAGAGCATCCATGTACTCAAGCTTGTTTTCTTCACATTCTTCAAATATTTCATAATGTCTATTCATAAAATAATTTTGGACGTTGACAAATTCTGGATAAATTATTATATCTTCAATGCATCCGATAATTACATCCAGGTAATTGTTGACATCATTCCAATAACAAACTAGCTCCTCCTCGTCTGCCATTATCCACTTTTAATTTTATCACCGATTAAACAAGATGAGTTTGTAGGAGAAGTAAAAAATCTCATGAAAGGTGATACTGTGTTTCCAGAAATAGCAAGGTAAAACCTTTGGATTGTTTTTTTAACTTATTGTAATGTCTTACGAGTTGGAGGTATATTTAAAAATTCTGAATTAAGTACATATCTAAAGCATCCAATAGTTCTGCCAGATAAATATCCCCTTACACTAATTATTGTAAGATATTATCACGTAAAATATTTATATGCTGGATCATTACCATTGATTCATTATCGTATCACCTTAGATGTAAATTTTGGATCATTAATGGTAGAAATGTTTATAGAGAGATTTTTTTTCTAGTCCATAACATGTTTCAAACCTGTGCTAGAAAGTCAAATCATGGGTGATTTACCCAAAGAGTGAGTCATCGCCTCTTTTCCTTTTCATAACGATGGAGTAGACTTTTGTGGTTCCTTTTATTTTAAATTTGAAAACCAGAGAAAAGGAATACTAAATAAAATATTAGTAAGTATATTTGAATGTGTAAGCGCGAACGTGATTCATTTGGATTTAGCGACCGAACTAACCTCAATAGCCTTTATTGCTTGTTGAAAGCGTTTTTTTCAGTCGTAAGGGAAAATGTTCAAAATTATACAGTGACAATGCTAAAAACTTTACAGGTGCATGTGTGGAACTGAAAAAACTTCATAGTAGAGTAAAACATCCAGATCAAATTTTAGCTGATTTCCTTTCCAGGAAAAATATTGAATGGAATTTCATAACCCCAATATCCCGAAATTTTGGTGGTCTTTGGGAGGCCGGGGTAAAATCCTTCAAATATCACCTAAAATGCATTATCGGAAACGCTAATTTGACTTAAGAAAATTTTTTTACAGTTATCTTTGAAATTAAAAGTGTCTTGAACTCTCGATCCTTTACCCCTTTACCTGCTGATTTTGATAACTTTACAAACCTTGTCACCAGGTCACTTTCTAATAGGGAGACCTTTGACTCCAATTGTTGAACCTCAATTCGTTGAGTTACCAGAGAACAGACTTTCTAAATGGCGAAAAGTAACTAAGTATTGTCAAAGAATTCGGAAACTATAAAAAGGGGGACTATTTGAATAATTTACAACAACGATCTAAGGGGATATTTACAAAGAATAATTTTAAAGTTAGTTTACTTTAAGATGAGCTTATGCCAAGTACAAAATGGCTAACAGGGAGAATTTCTGAAATAATTTGCGGAAAGGATGGAAAAGTACGAGCAGTAAATATCCTGAGCAAAATGGCTAACAGGGCGAACTGCTGACATAATTTGTGGAAGGGATGGAAAAGTACGAGCAGTAAATATCCTGAGCAAAATGGCTAACAGGGAGAACTGTCGAAATAATTTGTGGAAAGGATGGAAAAGTACGAGCAATAAATATCCTGTTGCCATATGGTAAAATGTTAAAACGAAATGTTAGCGAACGTGTTCTTCCTATCTATAGTAATTAGTTATTATAATGCGTGCCGACCGGCCTGTGTAGGGGGCAGGGAACTGTCATTGCATTAGAAAGGTCCTGGGTTCGAATTCCGGGCAAGACATGTATGTCTCTCTGTGTTCTATGTCCTTTTTCCTTTGTGTGTGAATGTGACCCGCCCTATAAAAGGGTTGTGGTTGTGTGAATGGCGTGGCAGGAGTCGAATTCCTGGCCATAGATGGCGCCACTGAAAAACAGGAACAATCGCACCATCACTGCCTAAACAGGCATACGACAAAAAAAAGAAAAAAGAAAATTGTAATGCGTATATCGATAACATTTAATTTTTATCATTAAAATCATTTCAAATGTGCGCTTGCTTGAATATATCGAATAAATATTATTGTATTTAATTAGTATTTGCATTTATTGTGTTGAAACTTCTCAAATTTCAAGACTGGGTGTATGTTCAAGAGCAAACAGTGCAGACGCGTCGTCATTGCATGTGTTGCTCTGGCAACCGCTGCTGTTTGATAATTTTTTAGAACTCTTTTTTTCACTGTTCATTAAGCAGTGGTAAATTTCTTGGCGAGTTTACTGTTGAATTGTGGAACCTGAGAGATCCTATAAATATCATTGAAACTGTCCATAAAGAAAATCCCTTCCCTTGAACGATGTTTTTCTTGTTTAATTAAGAATCAGTAATCTAGTCTAAAGGTCAGAGGTCATCTCCTCAATCCATTAAGATTGATCCCTAGAGCGTGAAGATTCAACCATTACATCAAAAGTTATTCAGTTTTTTATTTTGCGCACAGTAAACAAAAACTGCAAAAGAAATTACATTTTTATATCTGGTTTACTTCTTGCAAAAAAATGCTATATTAATCAAAGCATCATTTTGGGTCATATAAATTAGATACTATTAAAAACAAATTGTTCATGCATGAACAAAAAGTATACAGACCATTATGTTTGGCTAAGGTTAATGGGAAACGTCGCCAATAGAAATGGTTTTACCCATATTATATATTAAAATTATTAATCAATAAACTAATACATGTATCCATTGTATTTTGATACACTTGTGAAATTTTGTTTCATTTTCATTAAAAGTTTAGCTTAATCATAGAGAATAATTAGTTGGTTTAACTGCACTAAGCACAAGATTGATATTTAAAAATTCTGTCATTATCTAAGAGATATTTCTTTCATAATATTACCACAAATTGCGAACATGTACCCTTTAAGAATGTATAGTATGAAAAAAGTAACATCATGATAATAGTAAGCATTGAAAAGTAACATCATGATAATCACTAGAACAAATAACTTTTGTTCTATTGATCAATTTTCACCGTCTAGGACTTAATCTTAATGATTTAAAGGGGTGCCTTTAAATATGGTCATTAATTAGAGCAGACGATATTTTAAGTTGCAAAAGTTAGTTAAGGGTTATTATTATTTGTTAAGTGAATTAAAAAAATCTTATAAAAGGAAAAAAAAAACTATTGTGATTCGAATAGTTGGGCTAACGACCCTTTTTTGAATGAACGCAAATGCAAGAACCTAGATGTGTTGATGGTAATTATGATAATCATTGCTAGTGTCATTGCTAATATTGCATATCATTTTTCAAATGCTAGTGTTTCAGACACAATTCTTTTTAGCAGTCAACTTAATAAAATATTTGCATGAAATTAAATTATTTAGAATAATTATAATTTCTTTTTTACTATCTGAATTATTTTAATTAATTCTTTTCTTCTTTCCATTAGTTATGCGTAAAAATAAATTATATAAATGCTAAAATTCATCTGAAACTAAAAAATACCAAATTGATACTTTTCGAAAAATTGTTTTCCAGAAACAGGTTATTAAAAAACAGATATATTGAAAAAAATATAAAGAGAGAGGAGGTAGTGATAGTTTTTTTTAATCATATCATGTAACACAAAAGTTTATTTCAAAATAAATTACCTCCAATATTCTTGAATGAAAGTAAAAAATAAAGAATAGATAAAAATTTTATTGAGTAACATAAATGAAAATTAAATATTTTAATTAAAAAATTGTATGGGGTCTAAAGTTATTTGAAACAAAACAAACGTATTACAGTTCTAAATAATATTCAACATTCAGTTGGGATTCAGTTTAGTACACTTCTAACTTTGGAACATTTATACTTAGTGAATTATATGAGATTTCATGAATGTTAAATTAAAAATTGTTTTTTTAAGCACTTTAAGTTCTAAAATATATTAATATTATTTTTTTATTATAATCAGTTGCTGTACCCCCCCGCACTGCGGGGGTGTTTTTTACGACACTGTAAGGAAGACTTTCTTCTAATTTTCAGCTTTAACTGAATACATTTTTTTACAATACGTTTGGAATCTATGAATTGTAGCTATTTAACGGACGTGGTAATTTTTTGATTAGAAGAGGGTTAAACACTTAAGTTTTTTTGCTGCCTTTCATTGCTACAAAAGCCAACATCAGGCCGAAGAAGAAGTCTTTCTCCACTAAACATAATGTGTTGGATAATAAAAAAAGTGCCAACTATTTCTCTTGAGACCATTTTATTAAGAAGCAATTTCATTTATTACTGAAAGAATAACATTTAGCGAGAAGTGCTAAGAATTCTCCTTATCACAATGGAAAGGCTTTTTTTGCCAAAATGAGTAAAAGGCTATTATTTAATAATAAACTGTTGATTGCATTTTCCTAATACAATAAAGTATTATTACGGGACAGTTTAATAATGTTAGTGTTTCATACAAATTTTCTTTTATTTCCCTTTAGAAAAATAATAATTTTATTCATATTGCTCATTTTCCAATTTAATAAAAGATTATTCTAATGTGGGTTATTTTATTCTGTAAAAGATTATCCATATGAGCTTCATTTTACCTCAAATGTAAAAAGAAACTAAAAATACAAAGAGATACAGCCAGATTGCGAATTGTGAAGACGATAGTCTATAACACTTTCAAGCTCGTGAGACACCGTATATATATATATATATATTCCATCTAATACGTAATATATGTATATATCTATTAATGAACGGCTGATAACATGTAGGACCACCTTTAGCCCTCAAAACTGCTAGCACCCGCCTTGGTATAGTAGTCTGAGCTATCTGGTACCAAGCGCTCACCATCTGGTCCTGCAATTCCCTCACTTTGCGAGGGGGTAGCGTGGCAGCACGAATTTGGTTTTCCAAGTAGGACCACAAATGCTCTATTGGATTAAGGTCAGGTGAATTTGGAGGCCAAGACATCACTTGAAAGTCACTGGAATGTTCCTCGAACCAATCCACGACGATTCGACCCTTATGACATGGTGCATTATCCTGTTGGTAAACACCATCCCCCGCAGGAAAAACTGTTGCCATGAATTGGTGAACCTGGTCTGCAACTATGTTCAAGTAGCTTACAGACGTCAGGGATTGTTCTATGAGGATTATGGGTCCTAATGTGCCCCATGAAAACATTGTTCCTGGGCGATATGTATTTTAAGAATGCTATAAGTGATGTTTTAAAATTAAAGTGAAATGCCTGAATCAATTCATGAAAATAAAAGTTAGAAATGTTATGCATTCATTTAACTTTGAATCTTATTTATCATTTGAAAGCAAAATTTCAAAGAAAAAAATATTATTTTACAGCTCATCCTGGTGATGAAGTCTGCTGTGACAAATGCTGTGATCAAGTCAAAGGCTCGTGTAAGTCATTGACTCTTGAGCAGGTAATATATTGCTTAAAAAATTGTTTTCAATAATTTTAATTAAATAAACGGAAGGACTGAGCAGCATTTTATTTTAATGATATTCTTAAAACGGGTAAAACAGTCTGAGTTGTGCAAGAGTTTAATAAACAACAACCAAGAGGTACACCTCGTCCGAGTCGCAATATTGCAAAGAGTATATCTAGAACTTACGAGCTCTTCAATACCTACTGTCTTTTTTATAAATATTTCTATTGTAACAAATATATTATTTTCTATAATTTACTTTTGAAACATTCTTATTTGTAAAATATATATATATATATATATAAAATCAAAAATTACATAAAGTAAAAGAAGTCCTAAATAAGTCATTATTAATTAAAAAATAAACGCTTAAACGACTTTAATTTTTAATTTTGTGTTGTGTATAAATTTCTTAAGAACTGTTTAATTTTCTGTGCAAAGGTTGTTTTTTGTCGATGTAATTTACTTTAATTTTCATTAACTGTTTCTTACATAACTTAATAGAATCATAAATAAAAATAAATGTTATAGAATATTACATATTACAACGCATGAAATATATAATATACTTCCTTCCATTATTTATCTTAATGGTTGTGGTTCTTACAGTAATATTTCAGATAGAGTAAGAATTTGAAATGCAAAAAAGATTACAACTCGGAGTTGCAACGATATCGTTTACTTTCAGTTTACCGAAACGTGAATTACATAACATAATCCCATAAATCCCGAACTTTCATAATATTCCTTTACAGAATAACCTCTTACGTAACTCTTGCTTTAAAGAAATATATTTGAAAATAATATTTTTACCCAGTATTTTCTGATGCGGTTAGTTTATTGAATTGAAAATATTTCATTTATTCGAATACGTACTTAAATATTTTCACAAATAAATACTGGTTCAATGAAAAAAAATTATGCATTTATAGCAAAAATAGAAACAAGTATATTAATAAAAAAATACAACAAATTATTATTTAATTTTTATTTACATACATAATTTAAATTCGGTTTAGAAGAAGATTTCAAGCAATTTTAATTTAGTGATTATGAACAAATTTGTTTCAAATCGTATTATAAAATTTTAATTAAAAAATTAAGATAAGATAGTTATATTTTTATGTAGTGCTTTTGTGTATTGAACTTTATGCTTTTTTTCATATTTGAAATTTTTTTTTGTTTTCATATTTTATTTGTTTTTATAGATAACACCATGCTCGTATAGTTGTAATTGTGATGGCAACTATACGTATGCCGTGGAAAAAACCTTTACTAATTGCGGAAGCGGCAAAGTAAGTACATTTTATTAATTAAGAATTTTTGGCATTTTTTTTGTAGTAAGTATTTATCATTGGAATTGTTTACTACCAATATGTGTTGATAGACTAATAACTTAGGTAGGCAGCTCACAGTGGTACTTAAATCTATTATCACATGAATTTTTAAAAATCAAATTAAGAGACAATAATAACTCTAAGGAGAAAATCCGTCGAGTTTTGAGGCTTATTATGAATTTCTGAGGATGGTGTGGTTTGGCGGCAGATTTCCCTTTGATATCGCATTTACATCTGAATCAATAAGTTAAATGTCATTAAACTTAATCAAAATTCCTTTGTCAATAAATTTTAGTGAGCCGTGATGGATTAGGGGATTGAACATTCGTCTTCCAATGAGGTGAACCGGGTTCGATTCCCAGCGATGACTGGCAGATACGAATTGCACCGACCACAGGGCTAACGTAGAATATTCTCAGTAGTAGATGGATCATGGGTTAGAGTCCACTTGCCATCAGGCTAACCGTGGAAGGTTTTGTGTTTTTCCTCTCCCTGTAACCCAAATGCGGGTTAGTTCCATCAAAAAGTCCTCCACGAAGGCAAATTTCGCCTAATACTGTATCCGGGAGTTCCCTTGTCTGCTGAGTTGGGTTCAAAATTACAAAGCTACGGAGCTGAACATTAGTAGTCGTTAACCCAAAAAATGAGTCGGCTGTTCAACGACGGTTATAAATTAAAATAAATTTTAGTATTAGTCTAACGCCATTAAAGTGGTTTGTAACATGCGTATATAGTAAAGATCAGTTCGAAACGTCAAGCAAATATATTTTTAAAATTTATTTTGGCAACAAATAAAGCGATAACTAGCCAATGTTGACTATCTTTCTTTTTAAGAATTCACTTTAATTGCTCATTTATTGGCCAATGTTTTCCGCCAAAGTAAGGTCAATTTTAAAATTTACACTGTGAAAGAGAATCTGCGGCATTATTGGAAAATTTCTAGGAAACTGGGATTCTAGAAACTTTTTTCGAAAAAATTAGTGCATTAGACTTAGTAAACATAGTTACAGTAATATTTACTATGAATCATTGAATTACTATAATTAAATAAATATTACTATAAAAGCTTTTATTATAATGTAATTTTTATTATAATTAATTAATTTTAATTATTATTATAATTAATTTAATTCATAGTAATTCAGTGATTTTACAGCAATTATTACTGTACAGAAATGAAATCAACGAGTAAAATGAATTTTACGGGTGCTGCACTCAGAGGTCTAATACTTTTTACCGTAATTTGATCCGGGATTTTTTACCGTGGGATATTTACAGTCACATTTAATGAGGCTTATGCTTTATAAAATAAACAATTTTTATTATTTTAGAGCATTATTTCGTGTTAAAAAACGTCATTTACTTATATCTGTATTAATTTAAATGTAAAACATAAAGACAAAAAAAAAAAAANAAAAAAAAAAAAAAAAAAAAAAAAAAAAAAAAAAAAAAAAAAAAAAAAAAAAAAAAAGAGAGAGATTAACGAAGAAAGTTAAGAAAAATATTAATAAGCTGCAAGTACATAGGACCTTTAAAATAAGTTAAAAATAAGAAAAAGAGATTGAAAAAAAAATACATAAATTTTTTAAAGAGAAGTAGAAAAATTATTAATAAATAAAATGTTTTTAAAAAATATTTGAAAGTTTATAAAAAAAAATAATATAAAAAGCTGGAAAATAAAGCAAGTAAAAGATATAATCGCTTCATCAGCTCCGACGATTATATCCACAAAAAGAGTGCTTTCTAACATTGTATTACTATAGTCAAGGCAAAATATATCAATACAATACAATACATCAGTGCTATCATATTGATATATTTTGCTTTGGCTACATCAACGCAATATTAGAAAGCACTCTTTTTGCGGATATAATCGTGTGAGCTGATGACGAGATTATATCTTTCAATTATTTTGTTTTTCCGAATTTTTAATTCTCTTTTTAATTTTTAAATATTTTTTTTAAATATCTTATCTATTAAAAAGTGTTCTTCTCTTTAAGAAATTTATATATACATTTCTAATGTCTTCTTCGTATTTTTAACTCATATTTTTTTTTTGTCTTAGATACATATATATAAAGAAAACGAAGAATTATTTTAATAATTTTTGTTTCTTTTATCTTCTTCTTAGCTCTGCTATCAAGGAGATTGCTTACCCGTAGTTCCTGATCAGTGTGAAAAATTATATGGGAAACACTTCATTGGTCTTCTGGTAAATATCCATCATTATAAAAAATATTTGCTTAGTAAAATTGAATGGTTATATATAATGTAATTATTCACAAACTACGCAAAAGCACTAAAATAATATAAAAGTACTGTATGTTCATAAATATTAATACACTATATTGCGTGTACTTCTTTCGATATTTTATTTTTCAGTTGTTTTTACACATTAGGTTTCAAGTTAAAATTATAATTTTATTTAATTAATGAAATTTCAGAAATGTATTTCAGTATTAAAAGTTTAGGTCTTCTAAGATTTCGGATTATCCAGAATCCTTAACACTGACAGTTTCCTTAAATCTTAGATCATTTCAGATGTGTATGAGGAATATTTTAGTTTTTTCTACAATTAAGTCATTTAATAACTTATATAACTTTATAACATGAGCAAACTTTAAACATTAGTATTTTATTTATAAGTTATATAGATATTTATGTTATTTTAGAATCCTAGCAATCCATGTGTGTATTACTGCTACAGCGAAAATCAGCCCTGTCAGCAATATGAAGAGAATTTTCAAGATGGAGCAAGTTGCTTTACTTATAATAATGTTTACGGGGTAAGTTTTAAATTGAAACATGTAACTGTAAATTCTTGCATGCCTGAAACAATTCTATTCTGAGTAGAATCGTTTAATCAGAGTGTTGTTTATAAGATGCACTGTAAAAAATGGATACTCAAATTTAACTAAGCTTTCTTCGTTTTTGACGAAACAGTTTCCTGGTATAGGTTAAAACGAACATTTCGTCAAAGTGACGAAATAATTATTGTCTCTTTTTCGAGGAAATGAATTTCTTCAATAATAAACGAATTTCTGCAGTAGCTTTCCAAAAATAAGCCCTCGTATAGTGCTACCATTTCTAATACTTACTTTTTTATTTTATTTTATAACCGTCGTTGAACAGCAGACCCAATTTTGGTTTTACGACTACCAATGTTCTACTCCATAGCCTTGCAATTTAGAACCTAATTCAGAAGACAAGGGAACTTCTGGATCAAGTAGTGGGAGAAATTTACCTTCATGGAGGACTTTTTGGTGGAACTAACCCGCATTAGCTTTACGTGGAGAGGAAAACTACGAAAACCACCCATTGTTAGCCTAATAGCAAAGGGACTCTAACCCATGATCCATCTACCACTGAAGGTATTTTACATCAGCACTGTGGTCGATGTGAGCCAGCTGCGGAATTCGTATCAACCAGTAATTGCGGGGATTTGAATCCCGTTCACTTCACAGAAATGTGAGAGTTCCATCCTCTGAGCCACCATGGCTCCGATAATCACTTTATCGCGTGTACCATATATCTGGGTCAATGACACTTGTGCTATTTTAAGAAAGACAAGTAGAACACAGAGATGAATTACACTAATGCCCGAAGAAGGATTCTAACCCAGGTCCTCCTGATGCGAGACCATCTTCTTGACTACCATACAACAAGTCGGCTTATTCCTTCACTTTACTTTTGGATCGTCTAGTCTTCAATCTAGCTTTGTCGTTCCAGTTGAAAATCTCTCACAATGAGGCTTGATGAGGTTTGGAGTGGAGGAAACATTTTTCGTCTTATATTTGAGGATTCCTATTTTGTCACAAATCACGTGATTTCATGACAAAATAATTCTTAACCAGAATGAAATATTGCTCAAGGATTGCTAAATCGTCAAAAGTGAGAGTTTTGTTTCGGAGAGTGTTGAAAGTCAGGTTGTTTTTCTTTATCATATTTGACAGAACTTTTAAAAAGAATCACTATTTTAGATCACTCCCCCCCAAAACAAAATTAGAAACCTCATGGAGAACAATCAAATTTTCAGAGTCTTCGGAAAAAAACCCATTTAGATGGTCCAAATATGAGTGGGTCAGAAATTAGCTAGTTCTATCAAAGGAAATGAAAAATGAAAAATAATTACGTTTAGGAACAGCTGTAACAAGTTTGTTTTGTATGCTATCGAGTGGCACAAAACAGGAACAAAATCTCATGGATGTTAGCAAGTTGTACATTTTAAAACTACACCCTGAAGAAGTAAAAAAAAAACATAGTAAACGAGCCAATTGGTAGGACTGTCTTTTAATGAATAATTTTTTCCAAAATTTATGGCTTAATTACATCAGTTAGTATTGATTATCAATGATAAAATGATCAGAAATCTGGTTTAAAAAATAGAAAAGTATTTACAAATACAGTTTTATTCAGACGTTTCTAAATTTTGCAAAACATNTCGACAGATTTAACGTGCATCAGTCACCATTTACTACACGGGGAGTCTTCGGCCGGCGAGGATCGAACCCACGACCTCTTGGATATGGGCCCAGCGCCCGGAAATCTGGTTTTAAAAATAGAAAAGTATTTACAAATACAGTTTTATTCGGACGTTTCTAAATTTTGCAAAACATAACTTTCGAATTTTAAAATAAAATTTATTTTTCGAAGTTCTTTTTAAGTTTGGGAAAATTTTACGATTTTTTTTTCTTGTGAAACGAAACGAATTACATTGAGTTGATTATAATTGATTATATTTTATATTATTATATTATAATGGAAAATGTATTTATCTTGTAGCAATGTTTGAAGGGAAGATGCGTTGAAGGTAAGGTTCTTTAAATCTATGTTTAGCAAATTTTATTGTAATTTTAAGTTAGTACAGTGCTTTAGGTATCTCATTTCAGAATAAGTATGGTATAATTTAATTTGAATATTCGTTTTTTATGCTTAAATTATTTGTTCTAATAAAAGTTTGATCTCAAGAGTTTGGTAACTTTCGAAGTTAGATGCTTTCCATACAGTTTTAATGAATTTCAAATTGAAAAATGAAATCGCCACTTTTGACTTGAAATTAATTAGGTTTTGTTTAATAGCATTTTTATGCATAAACGAATGTTAATAAGGTGGAAAAATTTTAAAAAGTTGGAAAAAAAAGGATAATTATGATACCGACTTAGGTACTAAATTTCATTAGCTTTGGATCAACCTTATTCGAAATCACTATGTTGTGATTTTTACTTTAAACTTCAAATGCTAGGAACAGAGGAGGTATTCAATTATCATTTGCCAAGAATCTGCCACGTAAAAGTTTTTCGATGAAATTTAACACAAATGTTAAGTTGTTATTTTAAAGTATTAAAACTATCCGTGATAATTTATAAATATTGATGTAAATGATTGATATTAATGGGGAAACCCTTTTGAATCTCAACAGCTTCATTACTAAATTTGAACTCTAAACATTTTCTTGTAGGGAACTCATTGTTAACTCATTGAAGTTATCTTTTTCTAAACTCTTTGTAATTTCATGAGTGCATGCATGATAATAAAAGTAATTGAACCTCAACTATGAGCTGACAATATATTTTGATCACGTTTAAATGAAAAAAAAATATTGTTAAGAAAAAGTAGTAATATTGTTGAGAAAAAGTAGTAATATTGTTAAGAAAAAGTAGTAATATTGTTAAGAAAAAGTAATGTGTATAAGGGAGGCCTCTTTGGTAGTAAATTTTATCATTATCGAGGAAAAAATAAAAGTTTAATCAGAAATAAAAGTTTTTATATGGTATTATATTTAATGGAAATAATATATCTTCAGGAGGATTAATTTTCAACAGAGGCTCGAAGACAACAACATCTTCTGCTGCGGCAGCCGCGTCAGCATCTTCGGCCTCCAGTTCAAACGGATCCTCGAGTTCAGCAGCATCAGCAGCCTCGGCAGGAAGCTCATCAACAAATGGCGGGCAAGGAAGTGGAGTTTCTAACGGGAGTTCTACAGCTAATAGTAAGAGCACTTCGTCCAGCAATGCTTCTGGTAAAAAGGTTAAAAAAGACAATACAGGGAACGGAAATGGACGAGGAAGCAGTTCCCACAGCTCTTCCAGTTCAAGATCAGAATCTTTTTCAAACAGCAACTCAGAATTCGGTGGAGGAAATTCTGCAGCTGGAAGCGCCAGTGGAGCTGGATCGCAGTCATTTGCAGGAACCTCTGGGAATGGAGGAGCAAGCAGTAGTGCCGGGTCCTCCTCCAGTTCCTTCTCTGCCAGCGGAGTATCAGCCACAGGAAGTAACTTATACTCCCAAAGTAACAGCGCCGCTGGAGCAAATAGTTTCGCTGAAAGCAACGGAGGCGGATCTAACTCAAACAGTATCGGCTCAAGCTCAGTCTCCAACAGTTACGCAGCTTCAGGAAGCAGTGCCGGAAGTAACTCAAACTCAGCCGCCAACAACAACGCAATTTCCGGAATCAGTGGAGGAAGTAACTCAAACAGAATCGCCAGCAGCTACACAGGAAACAGTGCAAGCAGTTACTCAAACGCAGCTGCTAGCAGTTACTCAACTTCTGGAAACCCCGGAGGGAGTGACGCAATCTCATCAGCAAACAGTTTCGCTGAGTCTGGAAGTTACGCCAACTCCGCCGGAGGAGTAAATACAGCTGCCAACAGTCTTTCTTCATCATCATCATTAGCTGGTGCTTTTAGTGGTAATCAAGCATCCGGAGAAACACCAGATGAATCAGGTGGTTCAGCAGCAGCAAATGCAGCAGCATTTGCTGGAAGCTCCGCATTTATAAATTAATGTTAGTGTGGTGGTCTTTCGAATATCTCGAATAAAAACGAATTACAATCTTTCATTTCATGCACTGCATTATCATCAGAACAATATTTCTTTTCTTTAAAATTACGCAAATAAATTTAATTTCGAAAATGTTAAAAGGCTTATGGTTAAAGAAACTAAAAATAATTTTTTCACAAGTCTCAGAAAAATTTGTATGCTTTGTTTTTTATAGAAAAAGATGCCTGGTTGCTGACTTTTTGCCAAATTAATCTTTCTTCTTCTTAAACAATAGCTCTATAGGCTTCTCCTTTTTGAAATTAATAAATAGCTCACCAAGTTAGTTCATAAATGACTTTTTTAATTAAGCAGTAGCTCATAAATAGCTCTTTTAATTAAAAAAAATAGAAAATTTAAATTCTGTTTTTTTACTAATTTACAGACATACTTGTAAAAAAAAAGTATATTTTTAGACAAAATATGTTTAAAAATGAAAGTGTTTAGATAGGAGTGACTTAATTTTAATTCAGAAAAATGTTTTGAAAAATACGGTTGTTAAAATAGATATAAATATTTTAATTTCTACGGTGAATATATAATGTGAGCAATTTTCGCATAAAATTATATAAAGAAAAAAACTAATATCTGAAAACTTTGATCATAGTATTTTCTTGAAATAGTATCACCGCTTTGAAGTATAAATTGTTGATATTGCCTCTTTGAAGTTTTCCATTTTTTTAAAGGAAATTGTCTTTTTAATCTCTTAATTATACTCTATATGAATGATATTTTCAAATGTTTGACAAAATTTATGAAAATAACACTTTTTAAAAAGTTTAAGTCTGTTATTAGTATTATTTAGCAGTCGAACTTATTTAGAGAAATTAAGTAATTTTCTGTTTAGTTTCTGTAATAATTGTAAATAAATAAACAATAAAATTGGTATCTCCGAAAGAAATGTCATTACCAAAACTTTATTGTTTTGAAAATAAATTTTTTAACAAATTTATTAATACTTCAATTAATAATATAGATAGATTAAAAACACAACTAATTTGTATGATGATATTGAAATTGTATTGCTGCATGTTATTTTGAACAAGTTTTTGTTTTGCTTGTTTCAATAAATCATTATTAATAAACCTATAATTTGTATAATTCTACTGCACTGTACTTTAAATTTGTTAAAAGCAATATTACAAGTTGTTTGGTAATAATACTGGTACAAGTATATACTTTTCATCTTAATTTTTCTTAAAAATTTATTTCAAAATTTATGGAGGTTTGAACAGTACTCAGATTATAAAAATCCTTTTAACATATTAAGTTGTCAGTTAATAAATAATTTTAACTTTTTAAAATAGAAAAAAAAATATTTGTTTTTAAGTGAGAAGAAAAGTTAATAACGAAAATGTAACACGATGTTTAAACCATTTGTTTTAATTTCAAACTTATATAATAATATTTTTGCAGAAAATTCAGCATAGGGCGGTTTATCAAAAGTATTGAAACAACGTATGTTATATTAATGTTTGATTTTAAACAAAATATAATAAAAAGTCTTACTTAAAAATGGTTTAAATGTTGAGTCCCAAAACAAATCAAATTCTAACATAAGTGATTAAATACTTCTACATTGAACTATTCTATGAGCGAGTTTAATACGATGGAAAACAATAATCTAGTTCAGACTTAATATAAAAGAGGATTCGAAAAGCAATTTTTCAGATAAATTTGCAATTATATGAGTAAATTAGTAAGTTTAAATTTTATTCCAATAGGACTGGAAGCTAAATTGGTTGAAGCAAATCTGTGTTAATACAATAAAGGCAATTGATATCTTTTAATTGAATCATTTTTAATTTTTATATAACTTTCTGTTTGTCGTTATGAAAACAAGCAATAAAGAGAAGAGGACGGTCAATGAGCGAATCATGTAAAAAACATACATATAAATTACTTATTCATGTATTTAAATTAAATAGTTAAGCATTGCATTTAGATGATAAATATTTTAATGAAGCATTATCCTAATGAATACATGTAGATTTTTCGTAAATACTATGCTTAATAATGAAAGCATTTAACGGATTTGTTTTTATTTCTAATTAATAATACAATGCAGTTTTTCTTTGCCTAATTATACTAATAGAACGAAGATCATACATTTTCCCAACTAAACGCATAATGAAACATTGTTATTTTCGAATAAAATGTTGATTTCCTCAAAACATCTCGTTTCGACACCATTGTTGAAGTTGATATCCGACGTTGCCATTTGTGTTGGAAAGTTAAACATTCTTTAACGGTCTATATTATTTGTCTGTTGCCCTCAGTTGAAGATTTAGATAAGCAATGAAAATAAATTAAATAAACTCCTAAGCAGAAAACAGCAAAACAATTATTTCTATCTCTTTCTGTTTCACTCATATTGATTTGTCAAATTGTTTGCCATTTTTACAGAATTCAGTAAAAATCCCAAAGTGGTAAATGAATTTTAAGACATGAAAGTTTTTTGAGCAAATATCTGCATCAGAGAGCAAAAAAACCAGTGAGATTTATTATTGCACAATATAAATAGAATAAAATAGTTAGAAATTAATAAGATGCAGTTATTTTATTCAACAGAGTTGAACTAAAGTGTTTCATTCTAATCAAAATGGTTAAAATTTTTAAAGTTACACAGTAAAAAATGCACGGTCATAACTTCCTGAATATGGACCGTGTTTTCTGGATCATAAGAAACAAAAAATGCACGATGAAAACTTCCAGAATATGGTAAAACTTTTCGAGGGAAAAACGATAAATGTTATACAGTGTTTACTGTGTAAAAATATGACACATAAGAAACAGCAAAATGTACGGAATGAATTTATAGGAAATTTACAAGAAAAAGATATTTTTTTATCGTGCTATGTTTATCATAGGCAAAATGGTTAAAATTAATAAAGGTATTTAGAAATTAATGTAATGTCAAAACTACTAACTATCTTAATATCTAATCTGATAATCTAAGCTACTGCTTATGAATTCGGGTGGATATCACGTGGATGGCTAGTATCTTTAACACATATCGTTGTTGATTTTTTGAAGGTAAACACATCTCGAAATTTGTGTCTACGGAAATGGAAGCAGCTCAAAATGCATGTTTACGAAATTGTGCATAGCTTGAAATGTGTGGTTTATGAAAACGAACACAGTAAAAAAAAAAAAAATAGTGCGTGGAGTCCCTCTGCGCGGATGAAGTTAAACTTCGTAACCTACGACGTTAATTGTAGAAGAATCAGCAGTAGTAGAAGGATCACTAGTTCTATTCAACGACTCTTTTTCCTGCTCC